CACGATGAAACTATTTCATTTTTACATTGCCAGGGTGGCGGGGGGAAACTTCCCTTTGGAGTGTTTGCTTGGTGAAATGGGCTCGTGGGCTCTGGTTTATGTTCCGAGCCCAGACAGCAAAGCCCGGCTGACACAAGGCAGAGCTGCTCTGCTTAATTAGCTGGAGATGAGGGTGTTATTAAAAGCCTTCCCCCCCCCCCCCTCCTTTCTGACTGTTTATTCCTCCCTCCCTGAATATTACAAAGGCAACTGAAGAGGAAGTAGTTTTCTGCTAATGGAAAACCAGGAGGAAGAATTGGGCGAGGAGAGTAAATAAGAAACTCCGTCCAGCACCAGCCGTCGCTTCACCGGGGCACTTTGGGGAAGGGAAACTGGGCAAACGCGAAAGTTTAGCAAAGTTTCTTCTATCTCTGTTTGCTTTTCGCTGTGTGAGGGGGAAGGGGCACAGCCTGGGGTTGCAGCCGACATCTGCTGCTCGTTTCTTTCAAGAGAAACGCAACCTGGGGCGAACTCATCACCGAGCCCCGCGTGGCTCCCGGGCCCCCCAGCCGGGAGAGGATGTGGCTGCTGCAGGACTCAACACCGGGTTTTTTGGGGTGCAGGCACCCCTGGAATGGGGCAGCAGCCGCCTCAGATCCATCCCCTCGTCAGCCTCTTGTGCTGATCACCTTTTCCCTCTCCAAACCCTTCCCTGAGGCAGCACTTTCTGGCTAATCTCACACAGTGATGTTTTCCCCCTCTGTCCCTCACCGTCCAACTCTCCACACCGCTCCCCTCTCGCTCCCCCATCCCCACAGAGCAAAACCACGCCGATTCTAGCTCCTTTTTCTGCCCCCAAACAGGGCAGATCTCATTTTTGCCCGCCTGGAAGTCCAGCTTAATTTTCGCAGGCGCAGGGAGGGGAGCGGGAGGGACCGTCAGAAACCAACCCCTTCACCCATCGCCATCCCTGTGCCAACACCACCAGCCATGCCATCCATCCCCGGGGCTGGGAAAGGGCCAAAACCACACACAGAGCATCATCCAGGAGAAGAGAAACGGGTACCTACCCCAGGGGCAGCCGGTGGCTAGTGGGAGGCCGACATGGACCACGCTCCCTCCATCCTCCACACGGAGAAGGCATAACTGAGCCTCTCGTGAGCCACGTAACTGCAGCTCGTCATCTTACTGTCCATCTCGTCGCTCTGTAGCACCTGGTAGAGGAAGTCTATGTACCTGGCCGCCAGCTTCAGCGTCTGGATTTTGCTCAGTTTGTCCGAGGGCAGCGTGGGGATGATTTTCCTCAGGGCGGCGAACGCTTCGTTGAGCGACTGAGTCCTCTGCCTCTCTCTGACGTTGGCCAGGATCCTCTGGCTCTGCAGTTCTTCGTAGGACTGGGAGCTGGGACTGGACTTCTTCCCCCTCTTGCCTGGGTTGGGGCTGCCATCTTCGCTGGACTTCTTACTGTATCTTCTCTTCCTGCCAAATCTCTTTGGCTGCCTCTCCAGCTCCTCTTCGCTGGTCCCCAAGCTATCCACAGGGGAAACAGGAGAACTGGAGCTTTCTTCCATGCTTTCTGCGAGAAGGGGAGGGGAAGAGCTTTTCCCCCCCTCCTT